TGCAAGATGTAAACTAGCAACTGTGAGAAAAAAAGAAATCGCTTTTAAAATGGTTTATTCTGTGTTTGAAACAAGCTTCCATGGGTAAGCCAGCTATTATTAATATTTCAAACTATGAAATATTTTAGCTTTACTTAGACATCGTAAGCTAACTAACAGTTGGAACTGTAGAATGAACCTGTATTGTTTCAAATAAACTGAAACAAATTACAAATAATACAAAAGCACACAAACAAAAACAAAATTTAAATAAACACTTATTTTTACAGATTAACTTCAGGATTGGACTTGATACCATATTAGTTTCCTTTAAAACATTTTTTTATATCATAAATGGGGCTCATTTAGTGGCTGGGAAATTACTTTAACATGGTACGAAAAGCAAAAGACTGTGGAACCGGTCAAAAGCAGCAAAGGGAAAAAATCCCACAGAGAACATGATCTTGAATTAAAAGGAGGAAGTGCCTCAAAAGTTTGCCTTATATTAACCAGACAACTGTGTGAGACCTGCATCAATCCACACACCGATTCTCTCTTGCTTGTATTAATAACAAACACATGCCCGTTTGTCACACTAGCCCTGATGTGTGACCAGAATCATTTCATTTTTTCCATTCTGCTCACAAATTATAAATGACCTGCCCAGGGCAAGAAAAGAAAACCATTTCAACCTAAAGGAAGAAACAAAGAAAAGCCACAAAAAATACAGATCCCTGTTCATTAGTCAGCACCGGGACACAGCTGCGAATATCTGGATCAGCCCTGACTGTAACACAATCAACCTGACCTGGTTAGTATGCAACCTGATTCTAGATTAGTTGCTACAATGAGCTGGTTACAATACATTCACAGGCCTAGATCACAAATAAAATCCACGCATATGTGACTTACCCTCAGTTTTTAAAGTTGTTCCAGCTTCAATGGGTATCACTAAAAGTGGAAAGATACCACTGAGTCCAATGGCAATCGATCCCAAGATGGAGCAGAACCAAACATCTAGGTTGTCGACGGAGAACAGCTCATCCAGGTACTGGAGGTCTAGAAGGTCCTTAATGCTCCAAGGTAATGGTCCTGGTCCTGCAGCTGCAGTCTTTGCCTGGGCCACAGCGGTCTGAGCCATCATCTTACCGCCTAAGGATGACGCCAGGAGGGCGGCGCCAAGGAGCAGCAGAGCAAATGCCAAGACGGGGCTCTGGGGTCCTGCGCTCATCAGCCCAGACCTCCGCAATGCATGTGGAAGAAACATGTAGGGTGCTGTAAGGAATAGAGGAGCCTTCAAACAGAATTTCATGAAGTGAAAGATTAGTTTTAATAAGGTTCTGGGTTTCTTAGTCCCGAATGAAATAAACATTGTATATAAACGCAGTTATTTTTTCATATCAGTGTTTGAGCAAATTTGAGCTGCAATTTAACAAGAGCATCACAAGCAGGAACATGTACCATTCTGTATACACTACAGTTCAAAATTTGACAGTCAGAAAAAAAAAAAAAAAAAGTTTCCACAAAAAGTGTAAGCAGCACAAGCACACGTTCAACGTTGATGAGAAATGCACAAAATCAACACATTAGAATATTTTAAATAGAAATATAATTAAATAGAAAGGTTATTTTCAATTTACTCGATTTTAATCAAATAAATGCATTACAAAGTGACCATAAGATACTGCTTTCAAAACCCTTCTAGCCCCTAAACTTTTTGAACTGTTTAGTGAAATCTGTGAAATTACTGCCATTACCATGTAATCATAATTCAAAAATTGCAATTCTAAAAAGGCATTTGAATGGAAGTCATGGTGAATTGGCCCTTTGGCTTTACCTACAAATTGAAATGTCTGGATATGGTGACTAAGTGTCTCCACTTCTATCGACATCCCCCAAAAAAACCCACAGTAGGCTAAATAGAAGACACCACATAAAAAGACAGACGTTCAAAAAGGCCATGTGAGTCATAGCCCAGACAAAACACCACACATTTTAGGTAGCCTACTGTCAACACAGGGAATTAATCTACAGGCAATAGAAATTAAACAATTAAAAGATCATAGATCATAGATAATCCATAGAGCCCGGCCTAACACAATATCTTCCAACATGATGTCCTTTATTATGTAGTATATGCAAAAACAAAATTAAAAAATACATTTAAGTTTTAACCGATGTTAATGACACCAATAATGCACGTTATGGGTGGACAAAAAAGCTGTACAATCAGTATGCTAACATTCACACAGGAGCAGCACTGTTAGTTAGACGGTGTGGACTGCACGAGTTCGGGGAGCGGTGAGATTCCCGAGAAATTCCAGACCGTTTTCCGACCGTTTTCACTCAATAGTTTGCAAAGTTTCAGCGTTTCGCTCCCAAACTATTTAAAACAGCAAAACATGTCCGAATACAAAACCAGCAGCAGCGTTATCTGATACTCGGGGAATGAACAAAAATTCACAAAACCCAACGTTGCTGTAATATAAAAGCAACTGTAAAGTAGCCTACCTTGATACAAAGTTGCGTGCCTTGCAAAATAATCACTGCCTACCAGATTTGCAGCGATAAATAAAAACGTTTTATCTTACCTTGCTGAAATTCCTACAGTTTTGACTCCGGGTTGACCCTGCCATCCAGGCACTGCTGTAGAAGAAACGGAGCACTCCCTCAGACTCCCGAATTCTCTGCTGAAAGATTTTCCAGTGTCAGCCACGTCTCACGACCGGAAGTCCATTTCCAGACTGCGCTCGCGCACTAACCGGAGGAGGAGACCAGAGCCAAACGTGGAGAACCTGCTAGAAAATGATTGTTTAACCCCCATCAGTTGGCAAAAGGTAAAAACTTTTTTTTAAAACATACATGAGTTTTGTATTTTTTTTTTTAAATCCCCTATATCATGTCATGAATTCTTAGTGTTAACACGCATATCCATTCGTCCGTCCGTTTGTCTGACTATCTTGTATTTCTCGAAAAAGATTCTTCATTTGTTTTACAGCCTCAGGTCAAAGAGTGTCTCACTTCAGCAGACACCTGTATACCAACCACTGTGGAACATCAGATGTTTTAATATGAAGATCCATACCACACTGATGCAAATTAGCCTATAGTTTTCTATATGTTGCTTTGATGATAAACAAGGTGATGGCTCCACTAATGGAGCCAAGAGAAGAGATGATTTATTGGGGAGGATGAGTGAATCTATCTATCTATCTATCTATCTATCTATCTATCTATCTATCTATCTATCTATCTATCTATCTATCTATCTATCTATCTATCTATCTATCTATCTATCTATCTATCTATCTATCGCATCATCTTTTCATGCACAATATTTACATGCATAAGCAAACACCTTTTAATTTGAAGTAGCCTTAAATTGGTATCAACTTTAAAACAAGCCCTTTCCAAAGTCTTGATGAACTTTTCTTTTTACATAAGGTCATCTTGGTATTGTTTTCTGCAGACATGTTGTTTTCTGTTGTTACAAGTATGAGATGATTGTTTGTAACATATTTTGTTTACGTAATGACTAATCAATCACTCGGGGAGTTTTGCATATTGACATCTCACATGTTTCATTTCTCCAGATGTCTGACTAAACTTATGTTTATATGAAACAATTGTTGAAGTAATTATTTAAAAGTAATTTGTAACAATATGAGGAAAGCACAAATGAAGTGCACATTATGTTTTTATAGTTTATAGTATCCTTAATGAACAGTCATGAAAAACAACGTGTTATTAAGAGTTAGTGTTTGGAAACTAAACAAGTTAAAGTTGGAGTGGTGCAGTGGTTTTACAGTTAAAATGATTGATGGAAAGTAAAGATAGTTTTCTAGCTAATGTTGCTGAGGATTGTATGCTTTTCTGACTGATTCTGTGATGTATTCACTTTCACGTTGTTCTGAACATGTACAGTTTGAGTTTCGTTCTTCTGCGTTATATCTTGAAGAATAAATTATGATATAATTTATCTCACTCCTGACCACAAGATGGCGCGATTGATTTAGGTGTATTGTCTGAAACACAGACAGAATAAATATTTAGCCTAGGCCATATACCCCTGTGTTATTTTCAAAAGCATGTACAATTATCTACATCTTTAAATTTTATGGAGAAATTGCCTATTCAAATTCCCGCCCCACCATCAATTGTTGGATCTATCTATCTATCTGGCAATGGTCTTTACTATTTTTTTTCACGAGAGCTGATAGGACAAAATCAGTAGGAGAGCCAATTTTATCGCAAAGTATACATCTAATCATAAATAGCCTACCATGTCTGCTTATCAGTCTGTCATCCCTGAACATATGCATTGCAATAAATACAAAAGGGCGGGAAAAAATATTTACCAGTCAAATTTGTTCTGAGATGAGATGATTTCCCTTAATGACAAAAAAGCAGGATTTCCAGAATATATTCAGCCAAGAATATATTTAATGACCTTAAGTTATTTTTCTACATTGGCCCACCATGTATCTAACCATCCCCATTGATGAATCTGATAAAACTGAATCTGATTTTATCTGAAAATCGGAATCTGATTTTAGAGTGGCCTTTTATTGTGGCCAGCCTAAGGCACACCTGTGCAATAATCATGCTGTCTAATCAGTAATCAGCATCTTGATACGGCACACCTGTGAAGTGAGTGGATTATCTCAGCAAAGGAGAAGTGCTCACTAACACAGATTTAGACAAGTTTGTGAACAATTTTTGAGAGAAATAGGCCTTTTGTATACATAGAAAAAGTCTTAGATCTTTGAGTTCAGCTTCAGCTCATGAAAAATGGGGGCAAAAACAAAAGTGTTGCATTTACAATTTTGTTCAGTTTGTGTGTATAATTACTGTGTGCTTTATATAGAGATAGGAAATATCTACCATATACTGACTCACACCAAAATTCACTGTGATAAATCATTCAGAGTACCCCTCACTAAAACATTGCTATATAAGTCCTTTTTTCCATGTGTGACATTTTATTGGCGATGGCTAAGAGCGGGTTAAGACTCCTAGCTCCAGTCAAGATGATACATGGTGTCTGAGTCATCCTGGCTTGACTTGAGCAATACATTTAGAAAGAGGAAGCATTTTGAAGCTATAGGGCCCACAAAACTAGAATGACCGGGACACTTGTGTAGGGACACGACACGTTTTTACATTAGTGTTATTCATTAATTTTTTCTCAGAACAAAAACGCATTATTGCATGTTGCAGGAACTATAAGATAATTTAGCATATAGTGCCATGAATCACAGCTGCAGTTGTAGTCATTCTGATCATTATTCACTCCAAATAAACATGGAAAATGTCAAGATGTTTGGTTAGGATGTAGCACATGATGACTTGTGGACAGGCAGCCCAATAAATGCACAAGACACCATCATAATAGTGTATTATTATATTAACCTCAGTAAAAAAACAACAACAGTAAATTAGTCCTGTGTAAAGTGTTCTTTATGATATTGTGTTAAATATTTTATCCATCAAGAAACTTGACTTCACTTAATCAGAGGAACTAAGTTAAATGGCATTTGATAACACTAGTCTCTGACTAACATAAGTGTATAAGTCAGCTGAAACAATGCAGCCAGATATGAAGCATCATATTTTTCCTTAGTAGACACTTATTAAATTTTCTTTTTGTATGAGTGAATATGAGTTCACATTTCTCACACAACTGTCTCGTACAGCTTGTTAAAATGATACAGATACATCTTCAAATTGTAGCAAGCAGTGATCTCCTAAGATCAATGTGGTTGGATGTCCTGTTGAGTCAACATGAAATAGCATTCTCACCCATTTTACTTGTGTAATGTGTTATCTTCCCAAGTAAACAGGATATTCAAAGAGAACAACAAATGTGGGTAAAAATTATGTGCACTGAAATTAATGGATAGTGAAAACATTAAATGATGGAATTTGGAAAGGATGCATTGAAATGAGGGATAGGAATGGGGTCAGTTTTGATTCCATGATAACAGTCTGTGTTCTTCTGTTGTTTTTTTGGATGCGACAGAGGTGCAGTAGGGTCCATTTTCAGGTGGCTTTGCTCAAGACCATGTAGATCATCTGATTGTCTGAAAATTGTTTCCTTTTGAATAGTCAACAAAATCTCATGACCGTTCATAACGTTTTTACATTTTGATGAATGGTTGGCTAATTTGTACGATCTCATTTGCATGTTATCTGCTTACGCACCAGTGATGGTTATGTTTAAGGATGGGGTTGGTGCCTATTTAAGATGAACAGAGCCAAAACTGCAGCTGCCCTGCCATCTTCTCATTCTTCATGTGGCTGCTTACCAACAGATTTCTGCCCACAGCCATAAACTGGACTGCTTAATGGCATCAATCAATTGAACCATTTTCTCTTCGAAACACTGTTTCTAATTCTATATGAACTGATGTTTACCTTTATGAACAACAATAGTATTCCTTGTACAGTATGTCTACAGTGTATTCTGGTGATTTCTTTTTCTTGATCACTGCCTACAGTGACCATTGGTTGGTGTGTGGTTCTAGATGTTTACAGTAGGTTAGTGCAGGTGTGACCACTTGAGCTGGACCCTAGGAGGAAGTATTGAACCTTACAGGAAGTCTGCTTTGTTAAGATAAAACATGCAGCCAGCCTCAGGTCAACCGCCCCCTCCACAACAAGTACATGTACTGACACAAATTCAAACACACCTTGCTGTTTGATGTGGCTAATTTTGCACACCAAAACCACAGAGATAAAGATCAGAACCACCGTTTGAAACCACTGTTTTAAACCCTCCGCTGGAGTTCCATTCATTTTTAAAAAGAGATTCCATTGAAGAATAGATCTCAAATATATTATTTATGATATCTTCATGAATATGCTCTCTTTTCTTGAGGGCAATTGACTCAAAATGGAAAATCCCTTTAGTAATACAGCATAAAGTATATGATGCATTAGTTGACCTTTGTTTTTGATTGAACATAGCCCCTTAAAATCATATTTGATGCAAAAGCTGCACTAAAATCACACTTACCATAAAAATACCAAAATGTTCCTTTTATAATGTTTTGTTATTATGAACTCGGAGCTCTACAGTATACTACAATAGGTTGACTGTATGTGTGTATGTGTTTCTGCATCCATCGATGGGTGATAAAACATCTATAAATAGTTATTTGACCATAATCTGCTGGTGGATTGTTCATTCTGCAGTCAAAGTTAAGAGGAAAATGAGGAATTGGGAATAAGAAGTGAGAGGGTTGGATGTTCCCCCGCTGGCCGGGTCCGAGGCTTGGTTTGTGTCATTGTGAAAGACGAGGAGGCCACCAAAACCTACTGTCTACTTGCAGACAGGAAATTAAGGCTACTCTGTGGCAGGTCCACTGCATGGTGTTTGAAATCTTTCACATTCCCAACAGGTGCTCCCTTTTCGAGAAAGTTTTTAGAGATCTGAGAATTTGTGTGTTTAGGCATCCGTACCCACAACACATATAAATTTGACCCTGTATGACACTTCAGTGAAATGTTGGGCCCAAAAACTCTTAGAAATAGAGTTTTTGGATTTTAAGTGACCCGTTTCATGTACTCTATCCCTGTTGTGAATTCTTACCGTCTGGAAGCAGAGATGTATAGTAACGAAGTAGAACTACTTAAGTACAGTACTTAAGTACTAAAATGCTGTATCTGTACTCTACTAGAGTATTGTTTTTTTCCTCATACTTCTACTTTTACTTCAGTAGATATTTTCGATGAATTTAATACTTTTACTTCAATATTTTTTTAATGTTCTGCTAGTTACTCGTTACAATTATAAAAAAAAATTTACGAATCATTCGTTGCAAGTTGCTTTCATGCTGCCTAAATCACACGCCAGTTTTATAGGGTAATGGTATTGATTGACACACACACATTGACAACTAATGCAGGGGTTTTCCTG